GAGCCTTGGGAAGGTGTCAGAGATGCCACTTCCTACCCACCAATGTAAGGCAATGATCAAACCACTGAACCTTTGTAGATGTTATACTCTGTGCACTTCCCTGACACTGACGTGCACACAGGGCCATCCACAAAGACAAATTCCTTGGTGCCCTCTCGTTGCACCTGCAGCTGTTCCAGTGGATGCATTTCTAAAGACACTCTGTGAGCTGCTCTTTACCAAAAGATGCTCTTTCACAGGCATCAGTGATGAACTGAGCTGGAGCAGCCCTTTGCAGAGACTGCTCTGGCTTGGGAGCACTTGGCCTGCAGTTAAACCTCTGGAGCAGAGGCAGAAAGAAGCTGAGGAAATGTTGGAATACAACATTAGGAGGAAAATGCTGAATCGAGTGCTTAAAAGGGCACATAAGAAATGCACAGCAATCCTAACCTATCTTGTAAATGTCTCGCTCCCCTTGTCCTACTGCCCTTGTTGTGTGACTCAAGCCTAATATCTACCATTGCAACGTAAAAAGCTATTGGAGATGTGAAATTAATAATTTACATTTTCATTGAATCAATTTATAGCCATATTGTAGTAGTTTTGGTTCACCAGTTTGAGATTTTCCAGCCGATGCCCCAGCGAGTTTAGTGGGTTCAGTGCTGGCCAATCATCAGTGCACTCACTAAAATGCACTCACGCATTTTCTGCTGTGAGCTAGGACCAGGGGGAAGTCAAAGCAGGCTCAAAACATTAAAATAATATAAAGAAAAACTTATTAACAGTTACGAAAATGAAGAGTAATAAGAATCAGAACAAAATTTTCAGGATCCCTTTCCTCTCTCCAGAACCTTTTCTTTCCCAATGACAATGTAAAGAAACAAAACCTTAAATTTAATTTTACCACCTCTAGAATAGTCTTTTCTTTAATTCACTTACAGAGAGTAGTTCCTCTTGTTAATGTTATGGAGTGTTCTCCACAAGAAAACAGTTCTCTCGTGGCGCTCTTCATGAATAGCAGCCATCCATGGAAATCTGCAATCATGAAATCCTTTCCATTTTCCACTAGCTTTTCCCACAGCTGTGGTCATGGGCCATGTCAACTTATGGAGTACTGTTTTAAATTGAGCTATTCAAAGGCAAAGGTTCTCATTATCTAGCTCAGAAATCCTCTTCTTCCTGGGGGCACGGGATTTTCATCACTCTTCTCTCCTTCTCTGTTCAAACTTCTCACAGGATCACAGCTACTTTAACATCTGTTTACTTAGCATGGAGGCCTTTGCTCAATATCTATAATTGGGGCAATTTCAACTCCCCATACCTTCATGCGTTATAGGGAAAAAGTCTTTTCTACATAGCTTTACAAGAGGATTTCAGCCCCAGAATCAAGGTATCTCCTCATCCCTCCCATCTGGGACTTCTTCACTGACTTCTGTGTTTTCATGTTGCTCCTCTACATTGCCTTTTGTTATTTTCTCTCACTTGCGGGAGGATGGAAGCACTGAACAAGTTAACGTCTCGCCCGGGCCTGCTGATGGTCACTGGCCCGGCCGGGCTCGGGACCTTGTAGCCAAAGCCGTGTCTGGGGGGGCTGATGGCTTCTCCTCCCCCTCTGCAGGGGTTGTGGCTGAACCTCAGCAGGGGTAGAATCCTGGCTGAGCTGGCCCGGCCAGGGCTGCTCCTGGGGGCCGGCGGACTCGGCCTCCGGGCTGGCAGCACGAAATGGCAGCCGTGGCCCGGCCCGGCCTCGGCCCCGCGGGCTCCCCTGCCCTGGCCGGCCCCGATGGAGCGGGCGCCCCAGGAAAGGGTGCCCGACCAGGGCTCGGCCCCGGCACCTGTGTGCCCACCGGAGCAGAACGAGGAAGTTCCTGCATTTCCTTCGACTTCAACATGTGTCCATCACAGAAACGTGTACAGATTTGCAGAGGCTAGAAGCTCTGCAGCACTTCCGTGAATGCCTCCCATGCAAGCCACCACACCATATGTATTTCCTGATATAATTCTGTGATATTTTGAAACATGCTAAAGTGTATCTACATGTCACTGTGTACTGCAGTGGCTTTATTTTTACAGATCTCATTAATGACTAGTCAAAGAAAAAAAATATATTAAAAGCAAAAAAATACTATGTTTGCAGTTGTGACCAATCTAGAAGTGTGCTAGAGATC